GGAACCATCTCACAGGTTCCCTGCATGCATTCTCATGACCTCACTGACCACTGCCTCAACTCATACATTAGTGACACGTGAACAATTCCTACCATCTAGAGGATTTTTGTGAGGATTACACTTACTTTGTATACTGAATTTTGAATGAATTGTTGGGGCTGGAGAGATGGCTCAGCAGTTAAGAGCACTGCCTGCTCTTACAGAAGACCTGGGTTTGAATACCAGCATCCACATGGCAGCTAACAACTGTCCATAACTTCAGTTCTAGGGAATCCACACCCTCTCTGACCTCCATGGGCACTGCATGACATGGGTGCACTTATATACATGCAGGCATAGCACTCATACACATAAAAAGAACAAATGTGTCATACAGAAACTCAATACATGTTCACTAATAAATCTAAATATTGTCACCATGACAACATGAGATACTCTAAACCCCATTTTACAGATGAGAAACAGATATAGTGGAGTCACTTGGCCAAGTTCATCAGCAAGCCGGTAGAAGACTGTCCCAGAACTTAGAGCCAAGTTGGGTGAATCTAAAGATGTTGAAGACAGCTCCCCATCCACAACCTCAGCTGAGATATAGTGTTGGGGGGGGTCTGCCACATCCCCTCAGCACTCTCCCAGTTTTCCTAACCCCCAGGAGTTCTACCCCCACCTCAGTCCCTGCTGCCACTGAAGGAGGGGGCTCTGCATTCCTGCCTAAGCATCGGATTTGCTGTGCTCCAGGAACTATGAAAAGAATGTTTGCCATGAGCTAACGTGGTCGCCTGTCAGGGAGTGTGGCCTGGAGGGCCCACACAAGCTTTGCAGCAGCCAGCACAGTGGGAGAGAAGGAAGCTAGACAGAAGGGAGAACTTCCACGTCTCAAGACTGGGACACTGGAAGAGGTGGATGCCCAAAAATTCACCTCAGCTGGACATGGTAGCTCACATCTGTAAGTCCAGCTCTCAGGAAGCTGAGGCATGGTGAATTTGTGATCAGCCTAAACTACACAGTTTTGGGCCAGCCTGAGCTACATAGGGAGATTCAGAAAAGAGAAAGGAAAGGAAGGAAGGGGAAGGGAAGGGAGGAGAGGAGAGGTCAGCTCCTGAAGGCCTGTAGAGGAGAAATGGTCTTCCACCCCTACAGTCTTCTTTCCCCTCCCCACAGGCTACAGGGAGAGCCAGACCAGTATCACTGACCCAACTCAGGGAAACCATCACTGAAGTGGCTCAGGAGCCAGAGTCAAAACTGACAGGTGAGGTCAGGATCCTGGGCTCAGACTCCTAGCTCAAAGACGCTGGTGTCCCTCACCAGTCTACCAAAATCTCAGATACTAGGAAATAGCTGCCCAGCCCTCTCTGTTCTGAACTGTCCCCATGGGCTTGACTTTCAGGTGCCTGTTGCTCATCCTCTCCCTCCAACAAAACATCTTGTGTTACAGAGATGCCCTGGGCATGCTGAGGATGCTCAACAGTCAGTTCTCCACTCCATTCCTTGAAGCTGAACCCTGGAAAGCCAAGAGGTCAGTGAGAAGGACAAGAGCCAGGTGTCTACACAGAGCTGCATGTGAATCCAGGTCCTGCACTTAGCAAATAGACTGGATACTTACCTAGCAGAGCCTCCCCTTACCCCTCTGTTAGATGGGCCACCAATCCCTCCTTGCAGTACAGGATTAGAGGTAATGTAAATACAGGGCCTGATGCACAATAAATGCTCAATAAACTCTTCTTGTTATTCTCCCTCAACGGTACAGAAAGAATTGACATTAGAGTGTCAGGAGGGGTGGCAGGTTTCCTCCATGCCAGATCAGGCAGCCTCTGGGGGAGTAGGGCCTGAGTCCAGGGTCCTAGCCCTTGCTCTGCCTCTGGCTGCTGTGTGACCTCAAGTGATCTTTCCTGATCCTCTAATCCCATCTATGCGATGGCCTGGCACTCTCCATGAGGCACTCACCAGGCCCTCCCCCTGCCCAATCCCCTCACAGGCCTTTCTGCTATCCAAGAATAGGAATTCCATCTCTCCCAGCTGCATGGGGACAGTTAGTCTCCCATTCAAAACTTCCCAATCGAGCCAGGCATGGTGGTGCATGCCTTTAATCCCAGCACTTGGGAGTCATATGCCAGCCTGGTCTACATAGTGAGTTCCAGGACAGCTGAGGCTACAGAGAGACCTGGCTCAAAAAATTTTTCAATTAAAAAAAAATCTTCCCAAGAATCTGGATAGAGGCAAGGACAGTCCTGCCTATGCTCCAGGATCCAATCAGAGAGGTGTGATGCAGAAAAAAACTGACCAGAAAGTTCTAGGAGCTGCCCTTATCATAAGAGTGACCTGGGACCACTCCTCACCTCCCTTTGAGAAAAAAGATCCAGTTTTGTTAATAGAGAAACTGAGGCACAGAGCTGAGTAGTGCCAGGAAAGCTCTTCAACTACATATGCTGCCTTCACCCAAGATCTGCTGTCTACATCCTACCTGCTCTAGAAATGACCACACAGCAGAGAGATCTGGACTTTCCCTGATAGCATGGCTTCTCTGGCTGATGTCTGGGAACATATGTACATTTTCTGGCCTTGTAGACCCACCCAGGCTTCTGTGCACACTCAGGGCCTCTCAGATACTACCCCCAACTCATGGCCACATGTAACCCCAAGCCCCAGCCATTATGGTTTATGACACCATAGAAGCCAAACTTAGGTCTTCTATGTACCTGTCTCCTCTGGGGTTAGGTCAGGTGCTCTCGGTACAAGGCTCCCAGCCTTCCATCTCTTGACCCCACCATCAGATGAGTACATCTCCATCAACCTCTCCCTCTTAACCCCATGGCAACCATCTACTTTAGTCCCCTTCACCTCCCTCCTCAAACTGCTCAGCCTCCTCCCAGGTCTCCCTGTCTGGAAGATGATTTCCCCTTTGTCTTTGGCACAAAGCAGCCAGTTGCTCCCAGCTTGCACCACCCAGAAGCTCACACCCTGTCTCTAGACAAAGACCTTGGAAACCTGACCTCAAAGTAGCATGGTACCCGTTTTCCCTGTTGCATTAGATCGGCTTCCCAGCTTCCCCCACTGCTGCATTTTGTGTCAGCCCTGCTCCCACTCACCCTTCTCCCTCCTGCAGCACACAAAACTCTCACCTTTGAAAGCCTAACAGAGTCACCTCCCTCTTCAGTGCTACCATCCCTGATTCCCCTACCCCCATCCTGACACACATACAGCCCTGCCTTCTGGCTTCCATGTTGTTTCCTCTCCCTGTATACCTCAGCAGGCACCTTGAGACCACAGCTGCACCCCATATGAGAGACCGCTGTGCCTCTGCTTCCTCCACTGCAACTCTGTAAGTGCCTTGGGACCAGCTCATCTGAAGGCTCCACTTCCCCACAAAGAGGCCCGTGCTGCCACTGGGGTTTGGAGTGAGCTGGGGGCCAGCAGGGCAGGGAAGTTGGACTCACATCCTTTGGTCTGGCTGGGGCCCAGAGCAGGGGAAGCAGTGGGGTTTGGGGACTTAGTCTGACAGCCGTGTTTGGTATCCTTCCCCTCCCTCTTGCTAACAGACACATTCCCTTCCATTTTTTTCTTGCCCTTCCTCTGGGCCAGAGTGGAAACACTCATGTTCACTGAGGTAGACAAAGTGAAACCAGAGAGAAAGGCAGAGAGAGAGAGAGAGAGAGAGAGAGAGAGAGAGAGAGAGAGAGAGAGACACGCTGGTGAGCGTGTGGGGTGTGAATGGGTGTGTGTGCAGTGTATGCAGGCTGAGTCCTGTGGAAGTATGTCTGGCTGGCTGAGCCCTGCAGGCCCCCACTGTGTCTGTGTGTGCACACATGCGTGTCATTGTTTTAGCATTTGTGATGGGAATGTGCTCGTGTGTCTCTAATAAGTGTTTTATTCAGTGTGTGATTGTGTGTGAGTCTCAGTGAAAGGGAGTGTGGCTGTGTGTGACTGTGCATACCTGTGGTTTGACCACATGCTTTTACGGGATTGTGTGTCCCAAGTCTGTCTATGTTCACCAGGTCAGAAGGAAGCCAGCCCTGCATCTATGTCTTGACTTGTGCTCCCCAGCTCCTCCCTTGGGGGGGGGGGGCCCTCCACTCAAGATAATGAAGATCAGCTCTCTTAGCTGTCTCCAGAGAGGAATCGCAACTGCACATCCTCCAATATCCCTGCCCCACAGCACCCCCTCTTCCCAAGCTTCTGGGAAGCTCCTTCACCATGGCAGGCAGGTGCAAGATCTCTGAACTGCTAGAGCACCCTGCAAGAGGTCAGGGGCATTTCTATGTCAAGAACCTAGCATGTTTTCCCGTACATGGGTGTCTCAGGCAAATACATGTACACACACACACCCTAACCAAACTCAGAGGACTCTGCCCTTCCCAGCCCCTCTGGCTGACTGTTCCCCACCTGAGATCCTCCTAGTATCTCCATGTGGTGGAGGCACCAGAAAGCTGTTCCAAGGACCTGGTACCCCAGCCACTCTTGGCCAGGCACAATCCCTGGTCCCCACACGTGTCCCTGGAGATGGGGGGAGGAGGTACAGAGCCTCCACCAGGGACATTTCTCAGAACCTGTCTCTGGTGTCAGGTAGGGGCTGCCAGTAACCAGCACGGACTTTGGGATAGAGGCAGAAAAACCCACTGGGAAGTTGCCTTCGACTCAGAAACAGCAGAAAGATGGGGAAAGAGGGCGGAGTGGAAGTTGAGGGAGTTCCAGGGCCGCTCACTTCCTCCTCCCTCCTCTGCCCCTGCGGAGGAAGTTTCCCTATTCCCATTTTACAGGTGAAGTGTAGTGACACAACCTGAGCCTCATCCTCCGGGTTTCCACCTGGCACTGTCCAGTGTAGGAGAGAAAGGATGTCTCCCGGAGTCAGAAGCGGATACAGGGTGCAGGACCCGCTAGTCCTCCCCACCATCCTCACGCCGCCCAGCAGCGGTTCCGAGGCGCCTGCGCCCCCGTCGGGTCCGGGGAAGCCCGTCCTCGTCCTGCCCTGGGGGGTTCCCAGCCCGCGCCGCGCGTCGCCTCACCTGCAGGGCAGTCTCCGGACGGTACTCCGGCTCTCGAGAGCGGCCGGGGCGGCGCGGGCTCGGGCTGGGAAGTGGTCTGGGTCCGCGCCGCCGGGGCTCCGCGCCGCTCTGCCCGCCGTCGGGCGCCGGGGCCGAGTGGGCGGGCGGCGGGAGGGGCGCGGCGGGGCGGGGCCTCCGCCCTGCTCTTTCCACTGCCGTGGCCAAGAGCGCGAGCCCCACCCACCGCGGGAGCCAGGCTCGCCCCTCCGCTCTCTGGAGCCCCCAGACCCCTGGGACAGACGGCGCTGCAGAGAGGGCGGGAGGGCAGGGCGCGGTGCCCGCGGGAGGTGTCCACTCACGACTCCCCCCAGATATTGACCTAGGCTGCCAGGACTCACGGGAGGGAGGGGCGGTCGTGATGGACCCAGTGGCGTTTGAGGGAGCTGAGCGGTGCAGTCGGGGAAAGCCCGCAAAGGCCTTGCTCAAGTTGGTTAGACTTCGCCTTGCCTTCGGAGAAATGGGGAGCCTGGGAAAACCCGAGTGATCAGATTTGTGCTTTGAAAGTGCTTGTTGGCTGCTCTGTGCAGCAGTTAAGAGGCAGGACCACAGCACTAGTCCTGGCATGGCCCAACGAGCTGGACATGGAGTTTGGAGGGAGGATTAAGCATGACACGAGCTGAGGCAGTGAATAGGCAGGATTTGGATGTTGGGGTGAGGGGTCTAAGAAAGAAAGAGCTATCAAAAACAGTGGCCACAGGCTGGGCGTGGTGGTGCACTGGTGAGAGGCAGAGGAGGCAGATCTCTGAAAGAAGTGGCTAGATTTCTGGTTAGTAGCCTGGGAGTGAGTCCAGGAGGAGGGTAGTGGGAGTCAGCGGGACTTCCAGAAGGAAAAAGAGACCTCTGAGCCTCTGGGTTAGAGATGTGGGATGAAACATCCTTCATGTTCTGTTGCCATGGGGTACAGAGGAGCTGGGGGGAGCAAATGGGCCAGAACACAAAGAGGGTCCACTGTATCCACCAACCAGTTAAGGGCAGACAAAGAGGGGTCTGCACTGAGATGTGGCTGAGGTGGAGGAGTCAGGGAACAGCATGTCCAAAGATAAAGGCAACATTTTTCTAGAACGCTAAGGAGGCCCACAGGACCAAGTCTTATACTATAGTGTCCTTTAGCAGGGGTAGCTATGGGCAGGTGGTTGAGGTGGAGGACAGGGTTGGTACCCAGGCCTTAGAGGCTAAAGAGGCACCCCAGGAAAAGAGGTGGAAACAGGGAGTGCAGTGTGGAAGGTTAGATGGACTGAGGAGGGGAGAGTGATTGGCGTGAGAGTCCCCAATGTCTGCTCTAAGCTGGAAGGATCTAAGCAGTGTACAGACCAGAAAAGGAGCAAGGACAGCCCAGGGCTGTCACTCACCCTGTCCCTCTCCTGCTGTCTGCCTTCCAAGGGCCTCCTACTTTGCTTTCTCCCTGCCAAGGTACACAACAGCCCCACTACTCCTCAGTGGGGCCTCTTACCCCCACCTACCCCAAAGCCTGGTCTTACTCCATCCCGACCATCATATTGGGGGACTGCCAGGGGGTCTTTGGGCCTTGTTCCCTGGTCTGAGCCAGCCCAAAGAAACTACAGCAAAACCAGGCTGGGGCCTTGCTTGAGGAAGGGGGAAGAGAGGGCAGGATGGCAGTTTGGCTAAGAGGATACCAGCAGGGGTGGCTAGCTGGGGCCCTCCCAACAGCTAGTGTGAAAACCATGCCCTAGAAGGGGATCAAATGGGGGCTGCACACTCTGGGATGGAACAGGAGCTAAGTAGCAAGGACTAATAATGACACTATGGAATTAGACTGCCTGGGTTCAAATCCAAGTGCCACCACTTTCCAGTCATGTGCTCTTGAGCCAATCTTATACCTCAGTTTCCTCATCTAAAAGTCTCTCATAGGCTACTGTGAGGTTCACGGTTATAAATCGACATTGAGCACTCAGCTGTGTGAGTAAAATGGGGAAATTCACAGGCTGGGAAAGAGGCTTAAGTGGGCTTCATCACATACTCCCACTCAAGTACAAACTCAGCTGTCCCTGTGCACAGATCCCAATTCGGAGACTTACCCTTCCACCTCTCCCAAGGCCCTCCTGCTCACTGTTCCTTGAGGTCTCCCTCCTCCTTCCTTGCCCAGTGCTCTGCAACTAGCTTGGGAATGACAAACTTGGGCCCCATCCTCTTGCTGGGTCCTGTGACTCCTAGTGCTCACTAATTGTAAAGCACCTCCCCCTCCCAGATGAGACTCAGCTACCCAGGCCCTGCAGCCCTGGCCCCAAAAGAGTCCAAGACAGCCTTGTTCTGACTTCATGGCCATGGTCTCCCTGTCCACCAGCCATTTGCTCAATAAACCTCAAGACAGGAAATGAATGTCTTAAGAGTCAGAGGCCATGGACTATCCCAAGGCTCACCTCAGCTAGGCCAGGCCAAACTCCTAGCCAGGCTGCCCAGCTCACCTGTACCCCTGCCTCCCTATGTTCCACCTCTGTCCCCCTCTGGTGGCACCAGGACATCCATGGGTCAGCTTTACCTCTGGTCACCTGTCTATGGCCCTCTCCGGACTTTAATTTCTTTAGCTACGAGAACCAGAGGCTGGGGCTGGCAAGATGGCTCAATGGGTAAAAGTGCTTGTCACGCAAGCTTGACAACCTGAATTTGATCCCTGGAGCCCACATTAAAAGAAAAAAAGCTAAATGTGGTGGCATGCATCTGTAATCTCAGCACTCCTACTGTGAGATGGGAAGCAGAGTCAGGAGAATCTCCTAGAAACTCATGGGTCGGCTAGCCTGGAGTATAGGGTATGGCAGAAACAAGAGACCTTGCCTCAAAACAAGATGAAAGGAACTTGGCATGGTGACATGCCACCAACACTCCAGAGGCAGAGACAAGTGAATCTCTATGAGCCTGAGGCCAGCCTGGTCTACATAGCAAGTTCTAGGCCAGCCAGGAGTGAGACCCTGTCTCCAAAACAAAGTAAAACACAGTAGAAAGAGAAAAGCAACTCCTGAAAAGTTGTCCACATGCACACCATGGCATGCACATGCACACAAGAACAGGCATGACCATCCCCCCACACAGAGTTTTTTAAATATTTATTATTTTTTATGTGTATGAGTGTAGTGCCTGCATGTATGTAAGTGCATCCATGTCATGCAATGCCCACAGAGGTCAAAAGAGGGTGTCAGATTCCCCTGGAACTGGAGTCATGGGCAGGTGCCACAAAGCCAATACCACACTAATAATGTTTTTAAATAAAAGAAATGGGAGAGGGGATGGAGAGATGGCTCAGCGGTTAAGAACACTGGTTGTTCTTGCAGAGGACCCAGGCTCGAATCCTAGCACCCACATGGCAGCTAACAACTGTCCATAACTCCAGTCCCAGGGGATGTGATAGCTTCTCCTGACCTCCAAGGGCATTGCACGACACAGGTGCACTTACCTACATGCAGGCAATACACTCACACACATAAAATAAAAATAACAAAATATTTTGTAAAAAAATAATGATATTTGTAGGCTGGAGAGTAAGGATTCAAAGACTCTTCTAGGTCTGAGTAGAACTGTCAAATGGGATGGGTGGTTAAACTGAACCAGACAAGGCATAGAACCTTCCTCTTGCAGCCCCTGGCAGCACCAGGGCTGGCACTGGCCTCTTGATTCAGGGAGTCGACTGAGGAGTCAAGCAGGCTGGGTTTGGAGCCCAGTGCTGCCTCTCTGTGATTGTGGGTAAGTGACCTCATTTCTCAAAACCTCAAATTCCTCCTCTATTAAAGGAGGATAGCTATGGAGACAGTCTCTAATGACAGCTAACAGTCAGGGTTCCTACCTCTGCCAGGCTCATATGAGCACTTTACCTATATTAATTAATTTTTAACAAAACCTATGAGCTTAGTATTGTCATTGCCTCTGCTTTGCATGGGAAAACTGAAGCTCAGAGGGGTTTACTAACTCACCTGTGGTCACTCAGCTGAGAAGGAAGCTGGCTCCCCAAGTGTCTTCCCCCTTAGCACTGTGTTAGAGTGTCTCTTCAGAGGAACAGCATGCTGTATGCACCACCTAAGGACATAAAAAGTCAGCCTGTTCTCCTAGAAGGCCTTCACCAAGAACTTGACCATTCTGGCACTCTGTCTCAGACTTCAGCATTCAGAACTGTGAGAAACGAGTGCTTTTTAAACGGGGGGGAAGAGGGGTATAATAAAGGCTTTAATATAAATCCAATGCATAGTATGGCTCAAAAATAATGAGGCACTGAGTAACGGTAAATGTCAGGAATCATTATCACCAGCATTTAATAACAATTTGTGTTAGTATTCTGTATTTCCATTGCTGTGGTTCTCCTACTCCTTCAAAATTTCTGTCATTCTACCAATAAGAACCTCCCCCCAATTCTATACTCTCAGTTGGAGTTGATGGAGGACCCGGATGAGACCCTCCCTTTGCCACCCTTCTGTCTGGCAAGCTGAGGGGAGGGATGTTTGCACAGATGTGTGGCCCGGACATGCAAATAGTCTGGGGAGGGGGTGCGCTGCTGGTAAATCCCTGCTCCAACAGGGCCCACCCCTGACTCCCACATTTGCTGGAAGACTGGACTCCTTGATCCTGAGATTCCAGGAAGTCCTTCCCTCTGTCTGGTACTCTCCTTTCCTCCATTTTGGTTTCCTGGAGCTGCTCCTCTACAGCCAGAGGCATGGAGACCCCCTTCTGCAGCCCCCACCATTCCCACCACTTCCCCACCAGGGGACCTCTTAGCTCTGTCTTCAAAAATCCCAGTAAGGCAATGGAAATTAAAGCTACCTTAACTATTCTAATCTTATAACAATTTTGCTTCAATCAACATCTAAATGTGACCACATGTGCCCAGACCACCCTGTGGCTGGGTGGGTGGAGGGGGTTGAACTCGTGGGGGATAGAAGGCAGTGGGCGGCTCTCAGGCATGGGCCTGGCTCTGAAGGGACTTTCTGGGGGAGAGGTCTGCTGGCCACCGGGTCCCTCCCTCTGCTTTCTCCTGGCTTGCCCACACTGAGCAACCCTTCCTCTCTTCATTCTCCCTGGGGCAGGCTCTAGATGCTCCCTAACAAGTGGACAATGTTCTAGTGGGAGGGCCTGGAGTGATGCTGTTCTACAGACCGGTGGAGGC